GTGTATTAGAATTTATATCACATTAAGTGCTAATTGAATTGCTTATCACTTATTTTTTAAACAAGTTTTGCCTAGAAAAATTAAATTAATTTTTTAAATGTTCTATTTTTTTGTTATCAAACGCACCTTAAGATGTTATGAATTGAATCCATTAAATTTAACTATCGAATTATCAAACAGGACCTAAGTCATATTAGCGTGTTATACTATTAGCAATTTTATTGGGGCTTTTCATGGTGTAGAGAGAAGCAGCACACTTTACCCAAAGTGATAATTTTAGAGTAAATCTTATGTACACTCATTTGGAATTCAAACTGCTTGCCGATTTAGAGTCTTCCGTTTTATTAGTTTTTGATCTTCATTCATTGTCTCTTTGAAAATCTTTGTTCATACTTCAACCATCCACAGCTTGGGCTTTTTTCCCCAGTAAATACCTTTATTTGTCTACCAATTGATTGCTATCTTTTGAGCTTATATGCATAATCGAAATTTCATCACCAAATTGCAGCTGTAAACTTGAGCAAAGCCGCGTCATGGTTATGTTAAACCAATTATATGGTATTCATTATGAACTTTAGAATTCCTTACGAGTGGCACTTAAATAATGAACAATCAAAACTAAAATGAAATTTTCTGTCAGTTTCACCTCTAGCAAAAACTATCCACGGGATTACTATTCCAAGTAGGAAAACTAAATGAAAAACATTTCAAAACAATTATCCATCTTCTCGTGTAAACCTGTATTACAATTACGCATAAATATGGATGTTAATGATAAGAAAACAAGAAACTAGTAAAAGCTTTACAAATTATATATCTGTAGCCCTAAAATAGCTAGTATTAAATTGCCTCCGGTTATTAGAAATTATAAGAAAGGGGTGTGTGTATCATTGAGTGCGTGGGAGCATCTGTGAGTAAAGGCAATAGACAAAACCCTTGACTTCGCCCTCTGTCTTTTTTATTTTAGATTTCTATATTTCAGAAGGCTTATAAAATTTGTTATTACTGATTTTAAAGTCATGATAATGGAGTCAGTTGTAAACTATTTGAAAGATAGTGATGGAGGACAACGGAAAAAGAGAGAAGAACCAGAAGAATTGGCAATGAGGATGTGAATGAGAGGGAAGGGGCATAAAAGATATTGATGGAGGACAAAATGGGAGAAGGAAAGAAGGAGAGAAGAAGGGGAAGAATTAGCAATGAGGATGTGAATAAAGGGAAAGCGGGAAAATTTACCGTAGGAAGGCTAAGTTTAATTTTAAAACATGTTTTAATGTGGCAAAAACTAGTTCAACTATGGATTTCTTTAAAAACAAATGATACTCGGATGTACAAAAAAAAAAAAAATCTTGGGCGGTCGACAGCCCCAACCCGCTGTTCCCACTTTCCAGAGTTGGGATTTTCTACAATGGTCAATTTAAATTGCACCATACAAATGTAGGAACTAGTGCAACAGACATAGATAATAGGGTTATTATCACTTTACCCCCTTAAACTATATCACTACTATTAGTTTACCCCTTAACGTTATCTTTTAGTCACTTCACCTCCATAGGTAATTCAATTCAACATGTTAAAAAATTTTGGACAAAAGTACCCTTTTATTATATAGCATTACTACACTGTTATTCTCATTCTATCCCTATAATTATAGTAATACAATCGTTTTAATTCCTAACATTATTTTCTTGGCATTTTATTTCATCGTTAATCTAACCAGTATGGTAAAATTTTTTTAAATGTATTTACCTTTGTTATATATAATTAAAAATAAAAAAATAGAATGGTTATTCTTCCTTTTGTTTTCACTATAAGAGATCCAAAACATAAAAATAAAAGAATTTTCTCAAATTTCTTTTTTGACACTTATTAATACTAGAAAAAGAAAAAGAGATAGGAGAGAAGGAGATAGAAAATTAGATTTTACAAAGAAAGAAAATAAAGAAGAATCTAACATTATCATATTATTTTAAGGTTGTCGAGATTATAATTAGAATTTGGTGGTAAACAAAAAGATAAAATAATTTTAAAATAACAAAAAATATTTAATTCTTTCTCATTTGTATTTTTAAAAAATAATTGAGCTCTCTCTCTCTCTCTCTCTCTCTCTCTCCATCTCTCCCTCTCTCCCTCCCAATCTTTCTATTTTTTTTCAATATTAATAAGATTGCCAAGAAAAACGAGATTAATATTTTGACTTTTTTTTCTTGATGCTAAAAAGGAGAAGAGCCACTCTAAAATTTTTTCGTTATTTTTATTATACAAAGAGGAGGGTACTTTCTTCTAAAGTTTTTTAACTTGTTAAATTTGTTTATGGGTAGAATAAATTGCTAACAAAAATAATAATTCTAGGAAGTAAATTGATAATGAGACTATAGTTTATGGGGTAAAATAATTATAAGGGCTACACATGTCTTTTCATTTAGTTAACAAACTCTGTTAACTTTGACCATTAATCTTGGAGGTAAAGTGACTAAAAAGTAATGTTAAGGCAAAAAATTGATAGTGACGTTAAGAGGGTAAAATGATAATAACTCTAGGTAATAAGTAGAAGATGTATACATTCAATATCAACAAGCGAAACTGTGTTACAATATGTTTGAAAAGTTCTGTTTGATACTTTGTTGTCTTAGTGCCCTTTTCTTTTTAAAATGTAAGTGTCGATATTTATGGTAGTATAGTATATATGTCATTAGAACAATTGGCACTGCAAAAAGGCCTTGGATCTCTATTTTCCATGTGTTTGGAGTTCGTTACACTTGTTAGAGAAACTGCATAATGTAATTGATGGCCCAGATAAGTTTAAATCGAATTTGGATGGGGATTATAATCAACTACGTTCAATATGTGTCAAAATTTGTTAAATTTTTGTCCTAGTATTTACACCTATTTTTTAGTAAAGATATAGAGTTCACTTATAGAAAGTCACTCTAAATCCATGATATTTTAAATGATAGACACGATTATGGGCATCCTAAAATCGAAGAAGTGGATTATTTATTAGTCTATTTATTGTCGCTTAAGCCATAGATTTCTATATTTTGTAAAGCTTATAAAAAATAGTTACTATGGATAATGTTGTCATTATGGCATCAAAGACCACTCAAAAGATATTGATGGAAGAGAGAAAAACAGAGACAAGAAGGAAGGATTGACAATAAGAGAAGAAAAGGGAAAAGACACAAGAAAAGAATTAAAGCATGGGCAATAAAAAAAAATTGAGAGGGATTAGGTGAAGGGAAAATCTTAGAGATGTGCAAGAATAGGAAGGACTAAGTTTGACCTTAAAACGGATTTTTTGTTGGAGAGGTCTTGATAATAGATCATAAAGACAGCTACAAAGTAGTATCTAACATTGTCCAATTTAGTCCTTAAAGTACACCCACTTAGACATTAAATCATTCTCACTTTCTTAATGATGTTACCTAAGTGGGGCAAATTTATTGTTTCAGATCTAAAGTGTCTCATTTTTAAGTTTAAGGACTAAAGTGAGAATTTAGATATAGTTGAAGGGTGTAAAGTGGAATTAAACCTAAGAATATTATCAATATGGATGAGCATTTAAAAGCAAATTGTAAATGTTTTACTGTGCCACGTATTTCAAATCAAAGATATCAGTTATTGTTTTCTCTGTCTCTTTGATCGCTTCTTTTTTTGTTTAAAATAATTGAACTTTCATTTGTTGTTTAGAGTAGCTTACTACATTTTGAATTTTTAGGGGGTACAAATCCCTGAATCATTATGTTGAAAGAGAGGAAGTTTTCTAGAACGGAAAGAAATGATAGGCAATTGCAAGAACATCTAACAGTTGAACACATTATGTTGATCTGCATTAGAGCAAAGTACAAAATTTGTTACCATACTTTTCTTAAGTTGATGAATGAGGAAATTTTCTCTAAGTAAAATGCACCACTGGTTACTGAACTTTTTTAAAATCTCATTTAGGTAGCTTATACCATTTTCTTGGCATGAATTGATCTACTAAATTATTAAAAGTGTTCATTTGGCTATTCCATCTATTTTCATTTCAGTTAAACGAGACAAAAGAAATGTCTCGTGACTATTAGTATTTTTTGGATTTTTAAAATTAAAGATAATAAATGGAAAAATAATTTTTCTTAGAAAAAAGATTTACAACACAAGTCATCATTGCATTCACAAACTTTTTGGAAAAGTCATAGAACTATTTTAGCCTCACAATAATTGGATTTACGTTTAAAAAAAAAAAAAATTCAGAAAGAAACATGACAAAACTTTTAAGGAAATGTTGTGTTTTTTAATGGATAAACAAGAACTAGAAAATATGTATGATTAGAAAAGGAAATATTTCCTTAAAGGTCTGTAAATTTTTTTGGGCTTCGTAGTTAAGTTATTTTCTTGCTAAAATACTTCTATTATTTTTCCAAAAGCTTTAAGATCAATGTCGCGATCCCTTTGAAATTTTTTAATCCTTTTATTCTTTTTTAGATTCAAAAAAGTTTTCTAGAAAAGCATGCCAATGGTCAGTAAAGTTCTCTAAAATTTCATTCAATCACAAAACTATTTTTCGTCTACGAATCCCTTGCAAATATAGTGAACCACTGTTTGCCACAATTTTCTGTCACTTTTAACTAATAAAATCGATGCTATGGCCCAATTGAACACTTCTAAGAATTTATTGAGTCATTTGATACAAAAAATAGTATAGCAGATTACATGAAATTTTGAAAATGTTTGGTGACTGTTGGTGTACTTTACCCTACTCTAGTCCGATGAAGATAATACATTTTGATAGAAATTGACACTAAAATGATACACTTGTGAATTTTTTTGGCTTTTTCTTTTCACCTAAATTTTTTAGTTAATATATTTTGACTTGAAATATGAGCCCTTGCACAGCAGGTCAAAATGCTAGTTTTTATAGATTAGGATATAACATTTTCTTTTAGTGCATAGCGTAATTATTGTGAAGGGCAAATATAAAAAAAAAAGTTGTTTTATATTTTTTCAAGAGCCACATCTCAAGATCAAAAGACGAAGAACATATATGGAATTAGAGATCTTTAGCACATTAAAAGTAACCTTATATTACAGTTGTAGCACAAGCGATTTTAATTTATTCATACATTAAAATCAACTTGCTTTAGAAGACGCAAGTATGAATGGTCAAATCAACCTTGAGGTCCATGACCGGGCTCGCCCGCATAGCTGGGCTCATAATCGGCAGATTGCACTTTTTCTGCCGCAGATGTTGTGTCACCACTCCCATTTTGATCTGCAATAACAAAATATTAAGGATAAATGATCCCAATTTCTATTACACTATGCTAGATTCAGGAAGATTCCTAGCTTTTTCTATTTTAACCAAAAAAAAAATGTAGCACGAGTAACTAAATCATTTGAGAGATTATTGGGATCAGCCCTCATCGGTTGTGGATGGAATAGAGTGTTAGATTATAAGTGTGAGGGAAAGTCCATCCAACATTTATTGACATCTTCATCATGTCAATTCAGCCAAAAACTTCAAATAATTTTGTCAAGTCTAATATACTTTAGCCTTTGATCGATCATATGATAAATTAATTTGTCAACCATAAAAACCTGAGCTACTTGTTCACCACCAATCCATTAAATGTGCAAGAAAACTTTCCTGGATATATTCAGAATAGCTTACGAAATCACATCCTAACAACCTGTATAAATAATAATTTCTGCATGGAGGTGTGTTTAGGTAGGAATTAATTGTCAAAATATTATTTGTTTATATCAAAAACACATTTTTATCTTTTCAATCATATTTTTATCTCATATATATCACATCGCAAAAAAGTACTATAATAATTATTTTAAATAATATTTCAAATAATCTTCTATTCAATAAAAAAAAAAAAGAGTACATATGCCACCAGAGACGTTTCACAAAAAAAAAACCGGTAGTCCATATGCGTGGAAGGTTTATACATGAAGGATACATTAAAAAAAAAAAAAAAAAACGAACTAGCAAGCATGCAGCACAAAAAAATAAAGACTCCAGCATGGTGATTGCAGACGTGTAATATTTGTTTAACCGTGAATGACACCAATCTATGGATATGAAAGATGGATCTTTAAAACTAGGAAGTGGGACTTACTTGTCCCCAGAATCCTTCTCGCTGTTGAAGGTAGGATGGATTGAGTTGAAAGCAAGAAGAGAAAGAAAAGTATTGTCATCAGAGCCTTGCTGTTGCTAGCCATTGTTTTGTTATGGAGAGGTTTGTAAGAACCTAAGATTATTGGTTCTACAATTATATTCCTTTCCTGATGATTGTATACACCGAACCGTACTTTTATAGCACTCTCCGACGGTGTTTCTCTCACCCAAAACGAAGACGAAGAAGAAGAAGAATTGATGCGGTCGGAGGCAATACGTCCTTGTAACTTGAAGACTTGGGTAGCTGCACATCATCGTCTGGACCTTTGCCAATACAGGGCCGAGCATTTAAAATCAACTACGAGTATCTGACCTTTACTAACAACCGCCCGCCAATATTACGTCAATGATCCTGTATTTAGAGGTTCAACATTTGACAAAATGCATTTTTGTGAAAGTTTAGTTATGTTAAACGACTGACCTACTTTTTTCTTTTCTTTTTTTGTGGTTAAAACGGTTTGCTTTTTATCAAAAAAAAAAAAGAAAAAGCAATGACCTTTTATGTATACAAGTTAGGTGAGACTATGTAGCTGTTAGACTAGCGTCCCATACAGCTAGTTGGGTAGAAGTTGTTAGAGTACTAATGATTTTGTAAATATCAAACCAAAGTTATCGTTATGTTAAACCAATTGTATGGTATTTTAGGATTTTAGAATTTCTCACAAGTTGCACTCAAATATACACACAATCAGCGCTAATACAAAATAATCTAGGCAATTAGGGTTTTGACTTTGTTCAATTGTTTTCGATTCCTGTGATTCTTATAAAATTTGGTATATATATGCACGTATGGTTGCATTTCTTATAATATTTTTTATACATGAGCAAAATCCGCATATATAATAAAGTAATATAATTATGCATCAAATCATGTAAAAAAGACGATAAATATTCAACATCTACACAAACACAACCATATCTACTCCATTCTCATGGGTGGAAGTTGTAGACATGAAATAATATGCCATCACAAAAGATAAAGACTCTTAGGTGATGAGTACATATATGCCAGTAATCTTTTTTTCTTTTTTTTTTTTCAATCATGAATATCAATAATCCATAAAAATGAAAGATGGACTTTTAGAACTGTGAAGTGGGACGGACTTGTTCCAAGGATTGATGGTGCGATTGATTGAGTTGAGATCAAGAAGAGAAAGAAAAATATAGCGACGAGAGCCTTGCTGTTGGTAGCCATTGTTTTTTATAGAGAGGGTTATAAGAACTTAATATTGGTTCTATTCTATTATCCTTTCTTGATTTTTTTTCAAAAAAAAAATTGGTTGGGTACAATTTTGATTATTGTCGCAAGTCAAAACATGCTATTGGGACCATGGATTGGTATAGGGATTCTTATAAATTATTCATTAATATAGTCTTTACATCGACAATTGACTTTGAATATATGACTTTTTATAAAGAAATAATCCATTCTTACCGCCTAAACCTAACGCGTGTTTGACTAGTGATAGTTGCATGTAATGAATCATACTTTTATAGTCGTTTACGACCGGACCAAGTTTCTCAACAATTACATTGACAATTGCCGTCTTAGGTTAGCAGTCCAAATGGGCTGAACTGACATGGTCCTATTAGAGGGGTCAACTTGAAACTTCAATTAAATTGAGTGGCTCGAATTGGGTCATGCTGACATCTAATATGGGACGCGAAAGATATGGAGCCTTTCTAGTTCCAATTCTCTCCAATTGTGTAAACTAATAAAATTTTGATATAAACATAATTTATAATTGAATTGATGCAAAACTCACGATTATACTAAAAATCTATTAGTGTACACCAAAATTGTGCCAGTTTATTCAATTAGACGGCATTGGATGGTACCTCAACTGGAAAAGCCTCGAATTCGAACGTAAACTACTCTCAGTAATTGCAATCGCTAATTGGACAAGGACCTTGAGACCCATAATTAGAATAATTCTATACGAGATTCACGCACAGAGAAATAAAGGCATCATCGAATTGGAGACTCGTGTCTTTTGTTAAGGAGGTTGAGAGAAGGACAAGGATATTAATGGATGAAAACATAAGACAATTAGTATTTGTTTGCCTTGCCACTTCTTTTTGGGTAAAAACTAGTGTTCTTTTGTTTGGAATTTTTTGATAACGTGAAGGTGGATTTACACTCCCTGTCCTTCTTTTCTAACCCTCCCTCTTACCCCTCTTAGTGGTATGGTGTCCACACTAGTAATTTCTCAGAGTTTATAAAATATTCCAAAATGATGATGGTTTTTTAAAACTTCTTCTCAAAAGGTGAAAAATACATCCACTGAGGGTCTGTTTATTTGGAAGGAAAATATTTTTCAGAAAAATGTTTTCCTGCCGAAAATATATTAAATCAGATGGTGTAAAATGACTTTCCATATAAATGAACTGAAGTTATTTTCTATGTCCGCCTCGTATGTCGTAAGACTATCCATTCATGCTCCCCCATCAGCCTTAAGATCCAGAACAAAACCCACCACTTGTGCAATAGCCCACTAAAGATTTATAGTCTCCATCTCCTTCCAAACACCAGAAAAAAACTTGGAGAAGGTAATTATTTTCCTCAATAAAATTTTCCATGGAAGACATTTTCCGTTGAAAATATTTTACATTGAATCAAACAAACCCTGAATGCAAATGTTTTTCAAAACTTTCATTCATAATATACGTTCTTTAAATTGTCTAAGTTTTGAAAATTTCCTCTTGTCCACACTTCATATATTGACCTCGTGCGTTCTAAACATGCGTCTTAGCAATTGAAAGAATATATGTCCCTTCTTATTCCATCTTCCTTTTCCTGTACAACATTTCAATCCATGAAGAGATTCACTCACAAATTAAGTAGCAAATTTTCAATCCGTAGACCCATGAAACTCAATATCACAAATACGATCCTTTTTAATCCATCTTCCTTCCCAAAAGTTGCATCCATAAAATACGTTAATCTTTACTTTGTCTAAGTTTGGGAAAATTTCCTGTACATTTCGAACGTGTCTTATCAATTAAGAGGATAAATATGATACTGCTTAATCCATCTTCCTTCTTTTATACAACCTTTCAATCCATAAAGAGATTCACTTACAGAATAGCGAATTTTCAATTTGTGGAACAACTCTTCTTAATTCATCTTTTCTACTAAAAAGTTACATTCATAAAATATGTTCTGTAATTTATCTAAGTTTAAAAATTTTCTCATGTCCACACTCTATATTTGAACTCTTACGTTCCGAGCATGTGTTTTATCAATTGTGAGAACAAACACGACCGGTCTTGATCCATCTTTCTTCTTCTATACAACCTTTCAATCAAAAAATAGATTCGTTTATGGAATAGCAAATTTCCAATTTATGGACCCATGGAACTCAATTTCACAGATATGGCCCCTTCTCAATCTATCTTCCTTCTCAAAAGTTACATTCATAAAATACGTTCTTTAGTTTGTCTAAATTTTGAAAATTATCTCGTGTCCACACTCCATATTTCAGGACCTTGTACATTTCAAGCATTTATCTTATCAGTTGAGAGGACAACTATGACCACTCTTAATCTATCTTCCTTCTCCTCTACAACATTTCAATCCACAAAGAGATGCACTCACACAATAACAAATTTTCAATTTATCTTAATTTGTCTAAATTTTGTGGACTACTAAATCCGGGACTCTTACATACATGTCACAATGTGGGTCACAAAAAGCTTTTGTGACTATTTAAACCCTTTATGACTACTATTTACGCGTCACAAAAAATTACTTTTTTTAGTAGTGTTCAACTATGCAAGCTTGCCAATTGATTAAGTTCGGTTTGGCAGCTCTAATTAATTCGACCATTTCCAGCTCTTGATTAGTTCATACTTCGATCAGACCATGTTGAACATAATTAGAGACATGTCAACGTAATGAGAAATTTATAATCAAAATGATACTTGAAATAGTTATTTAATTTCATTCGGTAAATGCTACATCTCTTCTATGAATTGGTTTCACTATTTAATTTCATATTTCAGGACCCTTCTGCCGCCTATTCCACACTCCAAATTTATAAAAAGATTCTGCGGTCCGTCCCTATTTCTTTTTCCGCATATATTTTGTCATTACTCCTAAATCCATCTGCAATTTAGAAAAGTAGAAGAATATGAAAGTGACTCCAATTCTTTTTCTTTTTTTCGACAAAAAAAAGCTAAGAATAATAGTGATGAACTAATGATGAGTCTGCACTAAGAGCGGACGCCGGACAGTACAAAATGTGCCCTGAGGAAGGATGAAACGGGCCAGTAGACTTTTTTTTTTTTTTATCAAAAGTTTAAAAATATCGTGCAAAAGTAGTGACATAGAAAGGGTGGGGATAATGCTATGGTGGGTGCATCCTGTTTTTGTTATGCTTATCTTGTGCCTAAAGAAAAGAATGTGATTGTTTGTTGCCCATCTTCGGCTAGTTGGTTTCTAGACATAGTATAATGATAGGGTGTTAATTGTTAGTTATTTTATTATTAATCTCCCTTTTTATCCTTGCCAAATATTGCTTAATTGTTAATATTTACTCATATTTGGTATCTGGACTTAATTTCAGGAATGAAGCAGAAAACCATAAAAAAGGAAGGACTTTATGGAAATTAGGGAGACTTCTAAGGGTTTCAATTCTTGGGCCCTTGAATTGGTGGGGGACCACAAGCTAGTGGAAAGCATCTAGTCATTTGGGCTCTTAAAAGAAAGCTACGGAAAGAGATTTGGAACAAGAAGTTTGGAGGGCTTTGTCCACATGTGTGGGGACCACCTAGATAGCCTTTAGTCATCTTCCTCTTGTTGCTTAAATAGGGATAACGTAGAGTAGCAGGGACATCTCAAGTTTTAGTCTTTTAGTTTAGTTTTAGTTTCTTTTCTTTCTTTCCTTAGACTGGCCTCTGACACACGCCAGGTGTTCGGCAATATTCCCCAACGGGGAGATTTTCTCATGAGGCGTGGTTAAGCTTTTCTAGTCAAGGGGACAACTGAAGATTTGGTTCAATAATTACTGTGAGATCTAATTTATTTTAATTGCCTCCTTCATTTATTGGTATTCATATGTTTCCTGCTTTTAACCGTTATAGTGCGTGTGGATGATTGATTAGTGCGCAATAATTAATTATTCATACAGGCTATTTTGCTATATAGGGGTAATTGAATCCGTAATTGTTCGTTATCTCTATCCCAGTAGCAACTGGCATAATTGGAATTGTGTCAGGGGAATATTTGATCTGGCTTAAATAAACCCTCGTAGCGTGTTTGTTAGTCAGGATTGGGCCTTTCTAATTATTAATGCAACCTAGAAATTAAATCCTACGGTCGTACCTGGGGTTGTTTTTGGGTTAGGGAAATAGCTAACGGTCGTACCTTAGCTATCAATAAATTAAGGAAGGGTTGGTTGTTTATCGCGTGCATGACAACTATAACTAATCTATTATTAAATGTTGGAATTATCTGTGAATCAATGATCAGTGCCTGAACCATTTCTGAAGTATACCCTTGGCTAGAGCTATCTTAATTATTTCTTTTATTAATTATTTTCTGCAGTTAATTTATTTAGTTAGCATTTAATCCAAAACCCCCCATACTTTGACTCTAGAAGACATAAATTATCCCAGTCCCTGTGGATTCGACCCTACTCACCGCTATATACAAAATCTGTATTTTTCTCGAGTAGGTATTTATTATTGCACAGGTTCGGCACCTGTCAATTTTTGGCGCCGTTGCCGGGGACTGGCGCTAGTTATTTGTTTCTTTTTAAGTTCATCTTGTTTTCTTTTTTTTTATAGTTTATGGCTGCTAGCATTCCATATTTTGATGATAGACCGGACTTTGTTCCTGAATGGGGTTATGAGACTCATGTTTTTCCTAATGATCAATGGGCTGTTGCAAATTGTGGAACTTATTTTGACTCAGGTTATTCAACTGACACATGCCCCGCATTTCAAGACAATCTAAGTGCTCCAATTGATACTTTCGGAGATTTTCCACCCCAATATCAAATGCAGTATGACCCTTATTCAAACGGGTATGATCAAGGATGGTGGGATAATTCCAGTTTTGATTATGCGACCGGGCCAATGGATTTTCAACAGCAAGAGTCTCAACAACCATCGTCCCTGTCAGGGTACCAGCAGCAATACCAATCCCGACCACCTCCGCCCCCAAGCTCTGGTCCATCTTTGGAGGAGATGATAAAACAAGTGATGACAAACATGGCGCAAAATCAGCAAAGGACGGAGGCAATTCTTATGCAAAATCAACAAAGGACGGACTCCGAAATGCAGGATATAAGGAATCAGATAAGTCAAATGGTTACAACAATCAATCGTTTGGATTCCCAGAACCAAGGTGAATTGCCATCTCAACCTGAGTTGAACCCGAAGAATGTCAGCGCCATGACCTTGAGGAGTGGCAAAGAGGTTCAAGGGCCTGAGCTTGTGATCCCTAAGGACAAGGATGAGGAGATGCAAGAATGTCAAAATGAGAAATCTACAGATGCAGTTGAAAAAGAAGCCGAAAATGAAGAAATGGAACCCCAACCGCAACCCATTGAAGTGAAAGAATCCAGTGAAGAATCATCAAATGTGGTGACACCACCTCCATTCCCTAACCCGCATTTTCTTAACTTTTATTCCATGATTTCTGTTAATGAGATTGATTTTGTTATACCGGAAGTTTTTGAGTCTCATGGCAGAAATAAGTTAAGAGTAGCTATGGTCAAATATCTTGAACCGTTGAGTGCTCTTGATGGAGGGGTGGAGGAAAATTGAGATCACTGCTTGATTATTTGGCACCATCAACTAATCCATGGAAGACCGTAGCTCGTGTGCTCAAAGATTACTCCATCTATGAGGGTTACCAGGATCATATAGAGGATGAAGCATTAAGACGAGCTACACGATTTTATCCTCCATGAACAAAACATGATAATGTCTAGCCAAAGACATTAAAGAAAGGCGCTCATTGGGAGGCGACCCAATTTCTTTTAGTTGTTTGTTTGATTTTATTTGTTAGTTTAAATCTGTCTTCCTTGAATTTGATTGATTTTGGGTGTTAATTTTCGTTTTTGCTGATTTGTAGGTGATCTTCAATCATGACGCGCCCGCGTGGTGATGTGCAGGACGCTCACGATCAGAAAATTCTGAAACTTCTGGGAGCTCTCTTACCCTCATGACGCGCCCGCGTCACGTTCGCGGGAAAGGTAAGGATTCAAAAAAAAAAAAAAAAAAATCTTTTAACCGTAGCTACCTCTTTTCTTTTTTGTTACAAAAGAAAAAAATAAAAAATAAAATAAAAAAATAAAAATAAAAATTTTTGAAAAATAAAAAAAAAAAGAAAAAAGGAAAAAAAAGAGGAAGTAATACGGAATCAAAAGGAAAAAATTTTTCTTTCTCCTTAACCGTAGCTAGTTCTTGACTTGTCAACGTAAAAACAAAAAAAAATAAAAAATAAAAAAAATCCTTTCTTTTTCTTTCTTCTTTCTTTCTTTTCTTTCTTTCTTTCTTCTTCTTTCTTTTTCTTTCTTTCTTTCTTCTACTCTGTTCTCCTGCTGGTCCGTCGCTCCTGCTACACGCGCACCTCCAGCTCAGTGCCGCCCTCAGCCCTCTCTCCACCACCAAATCTGCCCCCACCGCTCGTCACTGCCGACGCGAGAGTGACGCGGCCGCACGCTGCCGGCTCCAACTACACGGCTCTCCTCCATCTCCCTCCAGCTCCTCTGAGCTCTGTTGCTCACCCGGCGTCGACCACCACCACAAGCCGTCCCTCGCAGCAGCTTCCTCTTTCTGTCCGCTGCTTCTTCCTCTCGCTCGATTGGACCCATCGAGCGCCGCCGCTGCTGAAGCTTGCCAGCCGCCCCTTCGCTGTCCGCGCGCCAAGTTCAGCCACGCGACGCAGGCCACGGACAGGGCCCGCACGCCACTTCGCGAAGGCCCAGCTCATCTGAGTTCCGCCGCCTGCAGCTCCACCTCCGACCGCTGCTGTTCACGACACCAAACGCTGCACCTCCTCTCTCTTCGCCGCACGCCACCCGCTGCTGTCCCCTTTCATTTGGTTGTCATCCAAGGTGGAGGTAATTGGAACTTGTCCCCCATTCTCTTAATAACTAATTGGTGCTGCCTGGGTTGCTCAATAGTTAATGTTGTTGACGATTGAAGTTTATTTTCTCAATTGGTGAATTCCACCAGTGGTACTGGTCGGACTATTTTCGCTTGGAATTGCTATTTCTTTTGGGTTGGGTGAAATTGTGCAATTAATTGGCCAACTGGAGCCATTTGTTGGGACTTTGGGTGAGTTGAAATATTGCACTTGTTTGTTAAATTGGGAGGCCTCTATACCATTTACATTGCTTATTCCAGTTCAGTGCATCTAGTTGAAATGCTGGGGTTCATTATTAGATTTGACTGAGAATCCTGTGGATACATTGCTTGTTGTGTGAATTGAGCTACATTATTTGGGGGATCTCACTAGTGTGGGTTAGTAGCCGTTGAACTTGTTTCATCCATTGTTTGGGTATTTTGGCTTCGCTGGGTCACTTCTACTCTTTTGGCTGACTGTTGGAGGCTGGGCACTTGGAGTTACTCTGCTACTGTCGAATTTATGAGTTATTATTGATTGCATTGTTATTTCTTGGGGCTGTTGCTACAATTTCAGTTGATTGAGTTGTGCATTTCATTTTCCGCCAGTGGTACTAGTTGGAGTGTTTTCCCCCGAATGTGTTTCCTCTAGCTGGTTAGATATTCGATCAAACTGCCAGGATCTTGTGGCTGTGTTGCTCTTGATAAACTTTAGGGTTGCTATTGCTAGATTTAGCATATTATTTATTCTGTAAAATTTTAGAGTGCATTTGTTGAGATTATGAATGGCCAAGTTTGCTTGTTGACTGACTGAATTAGGTAGTCCCTGTGCTTATTGACGTGACTTTGCTAGTTCCCAGTTATTGATAATAGTTTCTGGTTGTTGATTTTGGAGTGCAACTATTGCTTTATTGACCATATTTGGGCTTGAGTGGCCCGTGTTTGCTTTTGCATTTGACTATTGAGTTGGGGAACACCAGTGACTATGGATTTGCATTTGTTGGTTGCTATCTTTGTTGGATATTCTGTCTTTTGTTATTTGGGGTGATAATTGGCGTCAATGGTGAGTGGCGCCACTTACAAGTACAGGTTCACAACGGAGATGAGCGAATGACGAATATCACCCGCCAAGTGGCAAGGATGTCTCAGAACTCGGCTTCCCTCCACTGTCCCCTCCTATCCCTTAGCTGTTCAACAGGGAAGTTTCATTGTTCTCTTCGTTTTCATTACTTTATTACCTCCATTGAGGACAATGTAGGATTTAGGTGTGGGGGGAGCAGTTATGGTGCTAGTGTCTTTCATTCATTTTTTTTTTCTTTTTAGTGATTGGCTCGTAAGTGCATGCCAAGGTTTGATGTTGGATTATTACCTCTATTTCTACTATTGCCAATTTTAATAATAAAAGGGTATCAAGTTAATGTGGTTGAATCCAAAAACATCTCTTTGGTGAATATCGATGATTGTTTTACTCTTATAATTTTTGGTTAACTTTCCTAGGCATAGGGAATGATTATTGGCATTTTCATGTGAATTGGTCCGGTTATTAACTTTAGTTCTCCATGTTTGAAAATGAGGCTAGCTGATGCAAGTTTTCTTTTGGTTCTTGTGTTATATTGAGTTTTTGTGATTTTTAGCTATGAATAAACTTGACTGTACTCCGCTATTAGTTACTACTGAGTAACCGGGGATCTGCACCTAAAAGTGTTGATTCTCGCGTCAAAAGGTAGTAATTCCTATGAGTACGTGGTCACGTGGCGATAGAAGCTGAGTAACCGGGCTCCTTCATATGGCCAATGTTGGAGTTCGCGTCAAAAGGCTCTAAGGGCTATAGACTAAGTCTTTTGTTCCTCAAAAAAAAAAAAAAAAAAAAAAAAAAAAAAAAAAACAAAACAAAAAGAAAAAAAAAAAAATAAAGATTGTATTAGTATGTGAATAAGTCAGCTTGCCGGTTTGTGATCTTAATGTCGAGATTTTGGTTAATAGTTGGACCATTTGCTGATAAATGTGAGCAACCATTCCTTTTTCTTAGATTAGTTTGCTTTAAATTGGAGGAGTTGGTAGTTCAGATGCTAACCGGGGTGATTTTCTTGGATCTTGACCTGTGTCTTGAATATATGATTTGTTCGTGTCCTGATATGATTTTCTGGTGTTGGCAATAGTTGGAGTAACAGCCATGGTCAAATTTTGGTATTCAATTGTTGTTCCCATGCTTGAGGGCAAGCATGATTTAGGTGCGGGGGAATTGATAGGGTGTTAATTGTTAGTAATTTTATTGTTAATTTCCCCTTTTATTCTTGCCAAATATTGTTTTAATTATTAATATTTACTTATATTTGGTATTGGGGTTTAATTTCAGGAACAAAGCAGAAATTACCAAAAAGGAGGGACTTTTATGGGAAAATGGAGACTTCTAAGGACCTTGGACTCTTGAATTGGTGGGGACCACAAGCTAGTGCAAGGCATTTAGTCATGTGGGCTTTTCAAAGAAAGTTACGTAAGAGACTTGGAGCAAGAAGTACTTTGGAGGTTTTGTCCACATGTGCGGGGACCACGGATAAGAAGCATGAGTCATTTGGACTCTAGGAAAAGAAACGTACAAGACTTTGAATTTGGTGTGGGGACCACTAGAGATAGCATTAGACTTCCTTTTGGCTTTAAAAAGGGAGAAACGTACGAGAGATGGGGAATCAATAGTTCTTAGTTTAGTTTTAGTTTTCTTTTCTGGGCTCTTTCGCATGGTTGTTCTCCATTAATGGAGAACTAACCTCTTAATTCTAGTCAAGGGGACAACTGAAGATTTGGTTCAACAATTACTGTGAGATCGAATTTATTTTAATTGTTTCCTCCATTTATTGGTATTCATATGTTTCCTGCTTTTAACTGTTATAGCTCTTGTGTATGATTGATTAGTGCGCAATAATTAATTATTCATATGGACTATTTTGCTAAATAGGGGTAATTGAATCCGTAATTGTTCGTTATCTCTACCTGAAATTGGAAGAGTTTATGATTTAGAAGCTAACCGGAGTGATATTTCTTGGGTCTCGATCACTGATGCTTGATATATATTTTTCTTGATATCTTGGCAATATGGTAGATGGAGCAATAGCCACTATCAAATATTGGTGCTTGTTTACTGTTCTCATGCTTGAGGACAAGCATGGTTTAGGTGTGGGGGAAATTGATAGGGTGTTAATTGTTAGTTATTTTATTATTAATCTCCCTTTTTATCCTTGCCAAATATTGCTTAATTGTTAATATTTACTCATATTTGGTATCTGGACTTAATTTCAGGAATGAAGCAGAAAACCATAAAAAAGGAAGGACTTTATGGAAATTAGGGAGACTTCTAAGGGTTTCAATTCTTGGGCCCTTGAATTGGTGGGGGACCACAAGCTAGTGGAAAGCATCTAGTCATTTGGGCTCTTAAAAGAAAGCTACGGGAAAGAGATTTGGAACAAGAAGTACTTGGAGGGCTTTGTCCACATGTGTGGGGACCACCTAGATAGCCTTTAGTCATCTTCCTCTTGTTGCTTAAATAGGGATAACGTAGAGTAGCAGGGACATCTCAAGTTTTAGTCTTTTAGTTTAGTTTTAGTTTCTTTTCTTTCTTTCCTTAGACTGGCCTCTGACACACGCCAGGTGTTCGGCAATATTCCCCAACGGGGAGATTTTCTCATGAGGCGTGGTTAAGCTTTTCTAGTCAAGGGGACAACTGAAGATTTGGTTCAATAATTACTGTGAGATCTAATTTATTTTAATTGCCTCCTTCATTTATTGGTATTCATATGTTTCCTGCTTTTAACCGTTATAGTGCGTGTGGATGATTGATTAGTGCGCAATAATTAATTATTCATACAGGCTATTTTGCTATATAGGGGTAATTGAATCCGTAATTGTTCGTTATCTCTATCCCAGTAGCAACTGGCATAATTGGAATTGTGTCAGGGGAATATTTGATCTGGCTTAAATAAACCCTCGTAGCGTGTTTGTTAGTCAGGATTGGGCCTTTCTAATTATTAATGCAACCTAGAAATTAAATCCTACGGTCGTACCTGGGGTTGTTTTTGGGTTAGGGAAATAGCTAACGGTCGTACCTTAGCTATCAATAAATTAAGGAAGGGTTGGTTGTTTATCGCGTGCATGACAACTATAACTAATCTATTATTAAATGTTGGAATTATCTGTGAATCAATGATCAGTGCCTGAACCATTTCTGAAGTATACCCTTGGCTAGAGCTATCTTAATTATTTCTTTTAATTAATTATTTTCTGCAGTTAATTTATTTAGTTAGCATTTAATCCAAAACCCCCCATACTTTGGACTCTAGAAGACATAAATTATCCCCAGTCCCTGTGGATTCGACCCTACTCACCGCTATATACAAAATCTGTATTTTTCTCGAGTAGGTATTTATTATTGCACAGGTTCGGCACCTGTCAATTTTTGGCGCCGTTGCCGGGACTGGCGCTAGTTATTTGTTTCTTTTTAAGTTCATCTTGTTTTCTTTAATTTTTTTTTATTTATGTTGTAATTTTTTTATATTTTATGATAGTATAGACTTTGTTCCTGAATGGGGTTATGAGACTCATGTTTTTCCTAATGATCAATGGGCTGTTGCAAATTGTGGAACTTATTTTGACTCAGGTTATTCAACTGACACATGCCCCGCATTTCAAGACAATCTAAGTGCTCCAATTGATACTTTCGGAGATTTTCCACCCCAATATCAAATGCAGTATGACCCTTATTCAAACGGGTATGATCAAGGATGGTGGGATAATTCCAGTTTTGATTATGCGACCGGGCCAATGGATTTTCAACAGCAAGAGTCTCAACAACCATCGTCCCTGTCAGGGTACCAGCAGCAATACCAATCCCGACCACCTCCGCCCCCAAGCTCTGGTCCATCTTTGGAGGAGATGATAAAACAAGTGATGACAAACATGGCGCAAAATCAGCAAAGGACGGAGGCAATTCTTATGCAAAATCAACAAAGGACGGACTCCGAAATGCAGGATATAAGGAATCAGATAAGTCAAATGTTACAACAATCAATCGTTTGGATTCCCAGAACCAAGGTGAATTGCCATCTCAACCTGAGTTGAACCCGAAGAATGTCAGCGCCATGACCTTGAGGAGTGGCAAAGAGGTTCAAGGGCCTGAGCTTGTGATCCCTAAGGACAAGGATGAGGAGATGCAAGAATGTCAAAATGAGAAATCTACAGATGCAGTTGAAAAAGAAGCCGAAAATGAAGAAATGGAACCCCAACCGCAACCCATTGAAGTGAAAGAATCCAGTGAAGAATCATCAAATGTGGTGACACCACCTCCATTCCCTAACCCGCATTTTCTTAACTTTTATTCCATGATTTCTGTTAATGAGATTGATTTTGTTATACCGGAAGTTTTTGAGTCTCATGGCAGAAATAAGTTAAGAGTAGCTATGGTCAAATATCTTGAACCGTTGAGTGCTCTTGATGGAGGGGTGGAGGGAAAATTGAGATCACTGCTTGATTATTTGGCACCATCAACTAATCCATGGAAGACCGTAGCTCGTGTGCTCAAAGATTACTCCATCTATGAGGGTTACCAGGATCATATAGAGGATGAAGCATTAAGACGAGCTACACGATTTTATCCTCCATGAACAAAACATGATAATGTCTAGCCAAAGACATTAAAGAAAGGCGCTCATTGGGAGGCGACCCAATTTCTTTTAGTTGTTTGTTTGATTTTATTTGTTAGTTTAAATCTGTCTTCCTTGAATTTGATTGATTTTGGGTGTTAATTTTCGTTTTTGCTGATTTGTAGGTGATCTTCAATCATGACGCGCCCGCGTGGTGATGTGCAGGACGCTCACGATCAGAAAATTCTGAAACTTCTGGGAGCTCTCTTACCCTCATGACGCGCCCGCGTCACGTTCGCGGGAAAGGTAAGGATTCAAAAAAAAAAAAAAAAAAATCTTTTAACCGTAGCTACCTCTTTTCTTTTTTGTTACAAAAGAAAAAAAATAAAAAATAAAATAAAAAAATAAAAAAAATTTTTGAAAAATAAAAAAAAAAGAAAAAAGGAAAAAAAAAGGAAGTAATACGGAATCAAAAGGAAAAAATTTTTCTTTCTCCTTAACCGTAGCTAGTTCTTGACTTGTCAACGTAAAAAAAAAAAAAATAAAAAATAAAAAAAATCCTTTCTTTTTCTTTCTTCTTTCTTTCTTTTCTTTCTTTCTTTCTTCTTCTTTCTTTTTCTTTCTTTCTTTCTTCTACTCTGTTCTCCTGCTGGTCCGTCGCTCCTGCTACACGCGCACCTCCAGCTCAGTGCCGCCCTCAGCCCTCTCTCCACCACCAAATCTGCCCCCACCGCTCGTCACTGCCGACGCGAGAGTGACGCGGCCGCACGCTGCCGGCTCCAACTACACGGCTCTCCTCCATCTCCCTCCAGCTCCTCTGAGCTCTGTTGCTCACCCGGCGTCGACCACCACCACAAGCCGTCCCTCGCAGCAGCTTCCTCTTTCTGTCCGCTGCTTCTTCCTCTCGCTCGATTGGACCCATCGAGCGCCGCCGCTGCTGAAGCTTGCCAGCCGCCCCCTTCGCTGTCCGCGCGCGCAAGTTCAGCCACGCGACGCAGGCCACGGACAGGGCCCGCACGCCACTTCGCGAAGGCCCAGCTCATCTGAGTTCCGCCGCCTGCAGCTCCACCTCCGACCGCTGCTGTTCACGACACCAAACGCTGCACCTCCTCTCTCTTCGCCGCACGCCACCCGCTGCTGTCCCCTTTCATTTGGTTGTCATCCAAGGTGGAGGTAATTGGAACTTGTCCCCCATTCTCTTAATAACTAATTGGTGCTGCCTGGGTTGCTCAATAGTTAATGTTGTTGACGATTGAAGTTTATTTTCTCAATTGGTGAATTCCACCAGTGGTACTGGTCGGACTATTTTCGCTTGGAATTGCTATTTCTTTTGGGTTGGGTGAAATTGTGCAATTAATTGGCCAACTGGAGCCATTTGTTGGGACTTTGGGTGAGTTGAAATATTGCACTTGTTTGTTAAATTGGGAGGCCTCTATACCATTTACATTGCTTATTCCAGTTCAGTGCATCTAGTTGAAATGCTGGGGTTCATTATTAGATTTGACTGAGAATCCTGTGGATACATTGCTTGTTGTGTGAATTGAGCTACATTATTTGGGGGATCTCGCTAGTGTGGGTTAGTAGCCGTTGAACTTGTTTCATCCATTGTTTGGGTATTTTGGCTTCGCTGGGTCACTTCTACTCTTTTGGCTGACTGTTGGAGGCTGGGCACTTGGAGTTACTCTGCTACTGTCGAATTTATGAGTTATTATTGATTGCATTGTTATTTCTTGGGGCTGTTGCTACAATTTCAGTTGATTGAGTTGTGCATTTCATTTTCCGCCAGTGGTACTAGTTGGAGTGTTTTCCCCCGAATGTGTTTCCTCTAGCTGGTTAGATATTCGATCAAACTGCCAGGATCTTGTGGCTGTGTTGCTCTTGATAAACTTTAGGGTTGCTATTGCTAGATTTAGCATATTACTGGGGTATTCGTTAAAATTTTAGAGTGCATTTGTTGAGATTATGAATGGCCAAGTTTGCTTGTTGACTGACTGAATTAGGTAGTCCCTGTGCTTATTGACGTGACTTTGCTAGTTCCCAGTTATTGATAATAGTTTCTGGTTGTTGATTTTGGAGTGCAACTATTGCTTTATTGACCATATTTGGGCTTGAGTGGCCCGTGTTTGCTTTTGCATTTGACTATTGAGTTGGGGAACACCAGTGACTATGGATTTGCATTTGTTGGTTGCTATCTTTGTTGGATATTCTGTCTTTTGTTATTTGGGGTGATAATTGGCGTCAATGGTGAGTGGCGCCACTTACAAGTACAGGTTCACAACGGAGATGAGCGAATGACGAATATCACCCGCCAAGTGGCAAGGATGTCTCAGAACTCGGCTTCCCTCCACTGTCCCTCCTATCCCTTAGCTGTTCAACAGGGAAGTTTCATTGTTCTCTTCGTTTTCATTACTTTATTACCTCCATTGAGGACAATGTAGGATTTAGGTGTGGGGGAGCAGTTATGGTGCTAGTGTCTTTCATTCATTTTTTTTTTCTTTTTAGTGATTGGCTCGTAAGTGCATGCCAAGGTTTGATGTTGGATTATTACCTCTATTTCTACTATTGCCAATTTTAATAATAAAAGGGTATCAAGTTAATGTGGTTGAATCCAAAAACATCTCTTTGGTGAATATCGATGATTGTTTTACTCTTATAATTTTTGGTTAACTTTCCTAGGCATAGGGAATGATTATTGGCATTTTCATGTGAATTGGTCCGGTTATTAACTTTAGTTCTCCATGTTTGAAAATGAGGCTAGCTGATGCAAGTTTTCTTTTGGTTCTTGTGTTATATTGAGTTTTTGTGATTTTTAGCTATGAATAAACTTGACTGTACTCCGCTATTAGTTACTACTGAGTAACCGGGGATCTGCACCTAAAAGTGTTGATTCTCGCGTCAAAAGGTAGTAATTCCTATGAGTACGTGGTCACGTGGCGATAGAAGCTGAGTAACCGGGCTCCTTCATATGGCCAATGTTGGAGTTCGCGTCAAAAGGCTCTAAGGGCTATAGACTAAGTCTTTTGTTCCTCAAAAAAAAAAAAAAAAAAAAAAAAAAAAAAAAAAACAAAACAAAAAGAAAAAAAGAAAAAATAAAGATTGTATTAGTATGTGAATAAGTCAGCTTGCCGGTTTGTGATCTTAATGTCGAGATTTTGGTTAATAGTTGGACCATTTGCTGATAAATGTGAGCAACCATTCCTTTTTCTTAGATTAGTTTGCTTTAAATTGGAGGAGTTGGTAGTTCAGATGCTAACCGGGGTGATTTTTCTTGGATCTTGACCTGTGTCGCTTGATATATGATTTTCTCGGTGTCCTGGCAATATGGTAGTTGGAGTAACAGCCATGGTCAAATTTTGGTATTCAATTGTTGTTCCCATGCTTGAGGGCAAGCATGATTTAGGTGCGGGGGGAATTGATAGGGTGTTAATTGTTAGTAATTTTATTGTTAATTTCCCCTTTTATTCTTGCCAAATATTGTTTTAATTATTAATATTTACTTATATTTGGTATTGGGGTTTAATTTCAGGAACAAAGCAGAAAATTACCAAAAAGGAGGGACTTTTATGGGAAAATGGAGACTTCTAAGGACCTTGGACTCTTGAATTGGTGGGGACCACAAGCTAGTGCAAGGCATTTAGTCATGTGGGCTTTTCAAAGAAAGTTACGTAAGAGACTTGGAGCAAGAAGTACTTTGGAGGTTTTGTCCACATGTGCGGGGACCACGGATAAGAAGCATGAGTCATTTGGACTCTAGGAAAAGAAACGTACAAGACTTTGAATTTGGTGTGGGGACCACTAGAGATAGCATTAGACTTCCTTTTGGCTTTAAAAAGGGAGAAACGTACGAGAGATGGGGAATCAATAGTTCTTAGTTTAGTTTTAGTTTTCTTTTCTGGGCTCTTTCGCATGGTTGTTCTCCATTAATGGAGAACTAACCTCTTAATTCTAGTCAAGGGGACAACTGAAGATTTGGTTCAACAATTACTGTGAGATCGAATTTATTTTAATTGTTTCCTCCATTTATTGGTATTCATATGTTTCCTGCTTTTAACTGTTATAGCTCTTGTGTATGATTGATTAGTGCGCAATAATTAATTATTCATATGGACTATTTTGCTAAATAGGGGTAATTGAATCCGTAATTGTTCGTTATCTCTACCTGAAATTGGAAGAGTTTATGATTTAGAAGCTAACCGGAGTGATATTTCTTGGGTCTCGATCACTGATGCTTGATATATATTTTTCTTGATATCTTGGCAATATGGTAGATGGAGCAATAGCCACTATCAAATATTGGTGCTTGTTTACTGTTCTCATGCTTGAGGACAAGCATGGTTTAGGTGTGGGGGAAATTGATAGGGTGTTAATTGTTAGTTATTTTATTATTAATCTCCCTTTTTATCCTTGCCAAATATTGCTTAATTGTTAATATTTACTCATATTTGGTATCTGGACTTAATTTCAGGAATGAAGCAGAAAACCATAAAAAAGGAAGGACTTTATGGAAATTAGGGAGACTTCTAAGGGTTTCAATTCTTGGGCCCTTGAATTGGTGGGGGACCACAAGCTAGTGGAAAGCATCTAGTCATTTGGGCTCTTAAAAGAAAGCTACGGGAAAGAGATTTGGAACAAGAAGTACTTGGAGGGCTTTGTCCACATGTGTGGGGACCACCTAGATAGCCTTTAGTCATCTTCCTCTTGTTGCTTAAATAGGGATAACGTAGAGTAGCAGGGACATCTCAAGTTTTAGTCTTTTAGTTTAGTTTTAGTTTCTTTTCTTTCTTTCCTTAGACTGGCCTCTGACACACGCCAGGTGTTCGGCAATATTCCCCAACGGGGAGATTTTCTCATGAGGCGTGGTTAAGCTTTTCTAGTCAAGGGGACAACTGAAGATTTGGTTCAATAATTACTGTGAGATCTAATTTATTTTAATTGCCTCCTTCATTTATTGGTATTCATATGTTTCCTGCTTTTAACCGTTATAGTGCGTGTGGATGATTGATTAGTGCGCAATAATTAATTATTCATACAGGCTATTTTGCTATATAGGGGTAATTGAATCCGTAATTGTTCGTTATCTCTATCCCAGTAGCAACTGGCATAATTGGAATTGTGTCAGGGGAATATTTGATCTGGCTTAAATAAACCCTCGTAGCGTGTTTGTTAGTCAGGATTGGGCCTTTCTAATTATTAATGCAACCTAGAAATTAAATCCTACGGTCGTACCTGGGGTTGTTTTTGGGTTAGGGAAATAGCTAACGGTCGTACCTTAGCTATCAATAAATTAAGGAAGGGTTGGTTGTTTATCGCGTGCATGACAACTATAACTAATCTATTATTAAATGTTGGAATTATCTGTGAATCAATGATCAGTGCCTGAACCATTTCTGAAGTATACCCTTGGCTAGAGCTATCTTAATTATTTCTTTTAATTAATTATTTTCTGCAGTTAATTTATTTAGTTAGCATTTAATCCAAAACCCCCCATACTTTGGACTCTAGAAGACATAAATTATCCCCAGTCCCTGTGGATTCGACCCTACTCACCGCTATATACAAAATCTGTATTTTTCTCGAGTAGGTATTTATTATTGCACAGGTTCGGCACCTGTCATATAAGATGCAGATTGTAGTCTTTAACAGGTGTAGTCTAGTGAAGAATTGCTCATTGGCTAAAAAAAAAAAGTTTTGCATCTAAATAATATTATCTAAACCGCACGTAAGTGGATACAGCAAAGGGATAGATACTAGCAGTTAACTGACCGGTAACCCAATGATTTTTGGCTTCTTGTAATTGCGGCGGCGTTGCTTGTAGAACATGAAATGAACATTAAAAATTGGGGTGGCAATATATGAAAACGGTCCAACGGTGCTTGGTGCAATAATACATGAAATTTTGACAGTAAATTTTCATACTCTTCTCAAAATCACATATATATATATATACATATATATATATATATACGAAAAGTTGGGGTTTTGACCGGCGACGATATTTACCCTTTTTTTGGTGCCTAGAAATGGAAAGAGATATCTGAACGGGAAGCCGTAAAGGAAAATTACCGGTATTTTGGATTCGTAGTGAAAAGGACAATTTAAGGACATTAAAAATCCACTTACGTGGGCTTAATTTTGTTTTTCATTTAAAATGGACCAGCATTAAGCTGATTATTCAAAAGTTTCATTTGCTTATTGAGTTCTTTGTCTGCCAATTCACCTTTTAAATTTGTAGAAGTGCTCTATTTTATTCATTTTGTTAATTTGCCTCGACAACCCAAACAGAGTAGCTAAGGCAGTTATACAGAATAGTGAAATCTTGTTCTCTTTTATTTTATATTATTATTCTTTTTGGGAAAATAGTGCACTTCATTTTAAGATAACTGTTGAAGAAAAAAAGGTTCAATGAGCAAATTGAAATTATTAAGGTTAAATTACTTATAACGTCCTATTATTTTACATAATGTCAGATGACTCCCTAAGGTTTCAAAATCGCTACATAATCCCTATAATTTTATATAAAGTGGAAAATAAATGAAATGCACAATCAGTGATGGCCTTTATACCAAACACGCTCTAAAAGCGTGTCTGATAAAATTTTAATCTCCATGTAACCCCTTTAGGGTTTGTATAAATATTCACTTAACTCTCTTGTGATTTTTGCTTTTATCCATATAATTCCCTTATACTTTTATACAAGGTAGTTGAGCCATCAATTAATTTAGCATTTAAGTAAGGGTACTATTAGTATTTCAATTAATGATATTATATAGGCTATTTTTCTTTAAGTTTCCACATTATACAAAACCATAGAAGGAAGTAGATATTTTGAAACGTTAGGCAATAGACGAAATCACAGGTGGTCACATGTAATTTATTGAGTTATTAAAAATTAATAAATTAAAGTTGCAAGGAAAACTTTTCTAGATATGTTAAAATTTAAATAGCTCAAAGAATTACATGCTAAGTACCTATATATGAATAATATTTCTGTATGGGAATATGCATATGCCACCAGAAACATTTAAAATCTGGTCAAAAAGCCAGCCATCCACGTTGGTTGAAAGACCCAGGATCATGGCCTTACAAATTGAAATAGTTTCAGCTCAAATCGGTTTATGTAATTATTATTGCATCTGGTGTAAACTTGTATACTTTTAGTATAATTGTCAAGTTAGTTATATAAGTTTACAAGTGCAAGTTTACATCCAGATTATATGATTTTACACCAAAAGTTATAAGAATTATACTAACCAATTTAAACTCCGACAAATTTTAACTTGTGAGGCCCTAATCCATCCTTCCATTCGTGAGTCATATGTCAAGACAGAGCTAGCATGCAGCACAAAACAAAGACTCCAGTATGATGAGTGCAAACCAGTAATCTTTTTCTTTTACTATTTTTAACCATGATTATCAATAATCCACAAATATGAAATCTTAGAACTATGAAGAGGAATCACTTACTTGTCTCCATGATCTTTCTCGGCGTTGAAGGTAGGATGGCCTGAGTCATAGGTAACTTGTCGAAGCTCATTTATCTTGATTTCTCAGTTAATGAGTTGTCAAAAGAAATCCCACCTGAAATTTGCAACTTGAGAAACTTGACTCGTTTAGCTCTTGGTAGTAATCAACTTTCAGGTCCAATTCCATCTGGAATAGGAACTCTGCATAATCTTGTTGCACTTGGTCTGGAGGACAACAATTTAACAGGTTCAATTCCATCCACTTTTGGCAACCTCAACAGGCCAGTAAAGTTACACCTTTTCCGAAATCACCTATATGGTCCTATCCCCCACACGATAGGAAATCTGATCTCACTCCAACTTCTTATCTTGTCTCAAAATAATCTTGTTGGTGCAATCCCAAAGTCACTAGGCAATTTGACTAATTTAATTCATCTGTATCTCTATGAGAATCAACTTTCAGGTCCAATTCCACAAGATTTGGGTGATCTCAAATTCCTTATTGAAATGGCAATAAGTGAGAATCAATTTAATGGTTCTATTCCTGTTTCAATTGGTAATTTGAGTAACTTAAACAAACTGTATCTCCGAGCGAGCCAATTTTCTGGTACCATTCCAGAAGAGCTTGGAAAACTGCAAAAGTTAGTAGTTTTGGAATTGGATCAAAATCAGTTATCTGGTCCATTGCCGGAACTGCTATGCCAAAATGGAACCCTCCAAAGCATAACTGTATCTGAGAACAAGCTTACAGGTCCAATCCCTCGAAGCTTGAAATATTGCTCAAGCTTAATTAGGGCCCGCTTCAACGGGAACCATTTCCACGGTAACTTGTCAGAAATGTTTGGCATCTATCCCTTCCTGGATTTCATAGATCTCAGCAACAACGAATTCCATGGTGAACTCTCCAGCAGCTGGAGAAAATGCAAAAGCTTGACAACCCTGAAGGTTGGAAAGAACAACATCACAGGTGGTATACCTCCAGAAATTGGAACTTTAACTCAATTACATGCACTTGATCTTTCTTCAAATTATTTATCTGGGCAGATACCAAGAGTAGTTGGGAAGGTGGCTTCTATGCTTAACCTATATTTGCATGACAACCAACTCACTGGCGTATACCTCAGGAGTTGGGAATGCTAACAGAACTTCTTTATCTAGACCTGTCCACAAATAAGTTGAATGGATCTATTCCAGAACATTGGGAAGATTTGAAGCACTTGTATCACATGAACTTGAGCAACAACTTTTTCAGCCAAAAGATTCAAATCCAGGTTGGGAAGTTAACTCAACTTTCTGAACTGGATTTGAGTCGAAATTTCTTCACAGGAGAAATACCATCTGAGTTCCAAAGTTTGCAGAGCCTGGGAACATTGGATCTCTCACACAATAACCTCTCTGGTTTAATCCAGAGGCTTTAGCAAAATTGCCTGGTCCATTGCACATTAATATTTCATTCAATAATTTAGAGGGTCCAATTCCGAGTGGTAGAGCCTTTATGAATTTAACCATAGAGGAAGTACAAGGAAATAAAGGTTTGTGCGGGAATATTTCAGGGTTACCGGCTTGTGAAAGTTCCCCGTTGATTAAAAAGCATGTCAAGAATAAGGGGAAGAAAAAACTTGTTCTCACAATTTTAAGTCCTCTTCTGGGATCTTTCGTACTTCTTTGTGCATTCTTTGGTGGTCTCAGATTGCATAAGCAATGGAAAAAAAGTTCAGGAACGGAAGATATTGATATGAACAAAGTAAACTTATTTTCCATATGTACTTTTGATGGCAAAGCATTGTATAAGGAAATAGTAATGGCTACAGAAGAGTTCAGTGACATATTGTGCATTGGTAATGGAGGTTATGGAAGTGCTTACAAAGCACAGCTTCCATCAGGTGATGTAGTGGCTGTAAAGAGACTTCACAACATGCCTGAGATGGCAAGTCATAAAAATTTTTTGAATGAGATAAGGGCCTTGACAGAAATCAAGCATCGAAACATTGTGAAACTCTTTGCGTTCTGCTCAAATTCTCAGCATTCATTTTTGGTATATGAGTACCTTGAAAGAGGGAGCTTGGCCAAAATCTTTAGCATAGAAGAAGAAGCTAAGGAACTAGACTGGCGAAAGAGATTAAAAATCATCAAAGGCATTGCTCATGCTTTATCTTACATGCATCATGATTGTTCGCCAGCCATTGTACATCGGGACATATCAAGCAACAACATTTTGCTTGATCCAGAATATGAGGCTCACATTTCAGATTTTGGCACTTCTAAGTTTCTGAAAAATGATTCATCTAATTGGAGTTCTCTTGCAGGCACATATGGATATGTTGCACCAGGTAATAAAGGTTTTTTTTTTCATCGATTTGCTAACTACTAAATTCAAGTATGATCACATGTTATCACAACATTATTTTCCAAAATTCCTTGCAGAATATGCCTACACAGTGAAAGTAACTGAAAAGTGTGACGTTTATAGCTTTGGGGTCCTGACAATGGAAGTGATGAAAGGAAAGCATCCCGGTGACTTGATTGCTTATCTAATGTCTTCAAGCCATGAAGAGATAGAACTGAAAGACTTGCTCGATCAAAGACTTCGGTATCCCAATGAAGAAATTGAAAACATTCTGGCATCCGTTCTTAAACTAGCCAGAGCATGTCTGCATGTTGATCCACAATCTAGGCCAACGATGCTCTTTATTTCCAGGTTGTTATCAACAGGTCCATCGTCTGTGTAACACTCTGTGAGTAATCGTGGCCATATAAATCATTTTTCCCCTTTTTTTGTTTTGTTTTGTTAAGTAAATAGATATAACAGATATGCAGAATCTGATAACTTTTTTTTTTTTTTTGGTTTGGTGCCTACATTGCCTCCTGTCAGCTGCTGTGTCTCACAATTTTTCGTTTTCTTACATAGCACTATCAAGCAACAGCACAAGATGACATGATGATGAATATGGCAGAGTTTTTAGCGGCACGAGATTCTGCGAAAAAAAAAAAAAAAGTTGTGGCTGCTGGCTATGTATTTATATAGAGGTGTAGTACAATGGGCTACTGCCAGTATAGAAGTCTTGAAATGTTCAGAGTTTGTAGTTATTGTAAAAATACTCTATTCATAGCTAGTAATTCAGTGGGTGAATTGATACGAAAAAAATATAAAAACAGTATGATGAACAAGTAGAAACTTTGGGAATGTGTAGGATACAATATCTTGAACTCATTTGTAATTTAAACTTCTAAAACTCTTCAGTTTTGCTAGTGCGTGATCTTCTTTCATTATCCCATTCAAAACCAAACTTCATAGTTCAACTAGTCAATAACGAAGACTTTTCCTCCAAGTAATCTCCTATTTTTGTCCGCTAATTGATTACTACTTTTTTATAGCAGCTATTGACAAAAAGAATTTATTTAAGGGGGCTGATATATATCACCAAAATTTCGTCACCATTTATCACCATATCTTAAACATGGGCAAAGCCACAGCTTCCCATTTCCTATATGCGCTTTTGTACTATTTAAGTTCATGTTTGAACAAAATCTGTGACTAAGATGCATTTTGTACTATTTAGCTAATTACTTTAAACATTTTGATCGTGTATACAAGTTCGGAGAGATATTCTGGTCCTGGTACCATATCCTTCGTTAGATATAAGCTCTCAGGGGAGTATATTTATAAATATCAACCAACAGTATGGTTATGTTAAACCAATGATATTATTCTAAAGGGAAAGCGACAATATGACTTAGCGACAAAAATAAATTCAAAGACAACCCCACGTTCTTGATTTTAGAAATGTCATGTTTGTATCTGATTAAAGACTGTTTGATGTTGATAGAGGACAAAATGTGGAAAGGAGATAAGGAGATGAAGAATTGGCAATGCGGATGGAAATGTTGGGGAAGGGTAAATATCAACAAAGACTAGGGAGGGTTAGTTCAATTTATAACATATTTTAAGGTGGCGAAAACTAGTGCTAAATGGATTTATTTAAAAAGAAATAATACTTCGACATCAAGGAAATAGGAATTTCAAAATCTTGGGGCTACCACACCCATTTCCCATGGGCTAAAATTCTTGGCAATTATGAGAGCAATGGCATTATGCAAATGATGGCCCTAAAAATTTATTATATTTTTGTTTGTTACTGTCTTAATGCCTGCAATTATTGTTTTAGTTCTTACATCTAAGTATATATAATTTAAATTGGTTCAATTGTTAAGAACGGATCATTTTCTCACAAAAAATTGTGCATTTGAATCTTGTTATAGATTTGAAAACTATATTAGTAAGCAACGTATACGAACCTCTGTAAACAACGACTTATGATCTCGAAAATATATTGTGACTTGTGGCAATACGTCCTTGTAACTTAAAGACTTGGGTAGCTACACATCATCATCAGGACCAAGTCTTTTAGACCTTTGCCAATACAAGGCCTAACATTTTAAATTATAAAAATCAACCTCGAGTATCTGACCTTTACCAACAATTGCTTGCCATTAAAATTTTTTTTTTATTGTTTTTTTTTTATTCATGGAAAATATAACAAAATATTCCTCTTACATAATCCTCATTTTTCTAATTGAAGGTATCCCTATTCTGTCCAAACGGATTGCCCCACGAGCCAACCTTGGGAATGTACTGAAGGTGTCATAAATCTCAATTTGTTTATCTGGATGAGATATACCCACATTAGATAAAGCATCAGCAACTGTGTTAGCCTCCCGATAGCAGTGCGTGAATCTAGGTGGATCATCTAATAACTGCCAAATCTGGTTGACGTATCTTCGAATTTTCCACGGACATTGAGTACGACGTTGAATGATCCCAATTAAAACCAATGAATCTGATTGTACACATATGTTTCCAAAACCGTTATGTATACAGATCTGAAGACCAATAAGAAGGGCACAAGCCTCTGCACGGAGACATGTAGTTTCTCCCAGATATGCCGAAAAACCAATCATTGGTAATCCAGTGGAATCCCGGAGTATGCCCCCACCTCCACCTATTCCTGGATTACCCTTAGCACATCCATCCGTGTTAAGAGTATACCTCCCTGTCTCTTTGGTTTCCCAGCGGATACCTTGATATACAACTGTACCCCCAATATTACGTCCAATATTACGTCAAGCTGATCATAAATGTTGGGGTTAATCACATTTTATCTCCTTAAAAAATATCTCATTTTTCAGTTTATCCCTAACCTTTAATTTTGCTCACTTAATCCCTTTTAGGACAAAATTGCCCTTGCATTATTTTGACTTTTCATTTAACATGTTTTCCTTTCTTTTATTTCTTTTTCTCTTTCTTCTTTATTTAAATCTTCCTCTTTCCCACAAAAATCTTCACCTTAATGATTGAAACTAAAAAAGAAATGATTAAAAAAATATTCAAATCATTTCCCTAAAATACAATTTTTTAGCCTTTCAATTCTTTTAATTTTAGGTTTTCCTCTTTGCTTTCTAGTTTCTCATTTTATTCCCAAGAAAATATGTTAAGATGAAATTGTGACCTGATTAATAATCATCAATTGAAATTTGTGACACGTGGCATCATACAAAAAATCAAAATTAGTTTTTTATGCCTTTTAAAGCTTCACCTGGAAATACGCAATTACAAACTCAAAACAAAAAATGTCGTTGAAATGGAATTTCTATTGGGAAGGATGAAAGAGAGGAGAAAGAGAAAAAGAAATAAAAGAAAGGAAAACAATTTCATCTTATGATATTTTTTTGAGAATAAAATGAGAAACTAGAAAGGAAAGAGGAAAATCCAAAATTAAAAGAATTGAAAGGCTAAAAAAATTGTATTTTAGGAAAATGATTTGAATATTTTTTTAATCATTTAAGGAGAAGATAGATCTCTGCAATTCCTCTTTTTTAATTTTAATCATAAAGGTGAAGATTTTTGTGAGAAAGAGGAAGAATTAAATAAAAAAGAAACAGAGAAAGAAATAAAAGAAAGAAAAATAAGGTAAATAAAAGTCAAAATAATGCAAGGGCAATTTTGCCCTAAAGGGGTTAAGTGAGCAAAATTAAAGGTTAGGGGTAAACTGAGAAATAGGTATTCTTTAAGGGGATAAAATGTGATTAACCCTAAATGTTGGACCTTCGGTTAGAGGTACTATCGAGCCGAGTCGAGCTCGAGTAGCACCATACTCGAGCTCGAACTCGATCAGAATCAGTGCTACTCGAGTTCGAGCTCGAGCTCGACTCATTTGAGCTCGATTAAGTTCAAGTAAATATCAAGCCCGATCTACTCGAGCTCGAGCTCAAGTTTTGAAATAAACATATAATTTTTTTCTCAAAATATATAATATAAATATAATATGAAAACTCGATTAAGCTCGTCGAGTACTCGAGTATTTATTTTTGGAACTCGAACTCGACTCGTTGAATGTAACGAGTAGCTCGAGCTCGGTCCCAAGCTTTTTACCAAGCCGCTCGCAAGCTACTCGCGAGCGGCTTGACTTGATTGCACTCCTACTTTGGGCACAAGGGCCCATAATTCAACATGTTTGAAACCAACCACAACTAATTTGATCTTGACGGTTGGACCTTTACGTGCAAGATCCCAGCACTAAATTTTTTGAAAATACATATTGACTTAAAAGTCCTTTAGACCACCTTGCAAAAGTTTAGTTATGTTAAACCAATGAATTTGGATTTAGAGGTTCAAGATTTTGACAAAATGCAGTTTTGTGAAAGCTTAGTTATGTTAAACGAATGACCTTCTTTTTTTTTTGTGGTTTGCTTTTTATCCAAAAAAAAAAAAAACAATGACCTTTTATGTATACAAGTTAGGTGAGACTCTATAGCTAGTTGGGTACAAGTTGTTAGAGTACTAATGATTTTGTAAATATCAAACCAACGTTATCGTTATGTTAAATCAATGATATGGTATTTTAGGATTTTAGATTTTCTCACAAGTTGCACTCAAATATACACGCAATCAGCGCTAATACAAAATAATCAAGGCAATTAGTATTCCAAGTAGGAAAACAAAACAAAACAAAAATGCTTTACAAGCAACAACTATTTGTCTCCTGATAAATAGTATCTTAAAGATAAGAAAATATATCAATTAACCTCAAACAAATGTACACATTAGTATCTTAAAGATAAGAAAATCGAACTAGTAAAAACCTCCTAAAATATATCGCAATAGGTAAAATTACCTCCGATGAGTAGAAATTGTAAATAGAGGATTTGTTTCGCGATTCATTAATCAAGTCCTGAAGCATTAACTGTCTACCAAAAAATAAAATTAAATTGTGAAAGTAAGAAAGTAAATATCAAGTATGTGCGTAGATATCTTACTGTGTGTTTTGATGAGTGCCTCAAAGCATCAGCGAGAAAAATTCCAAAGTCAAAATCACTTGACCATCTTACCCCTCTTATAGTTATCACATTTTTATATTTTGGAAGGCTTATAAAAGTGGTTACCATAGATTAAAGTCATCATAATAGAGACTATTTGAAAATTATTGATGGAGGACAAAAAGGAGAGATTAGAAAAGGGCAGCATTAGCAATACTTAGATATGCACAAGACTGGGAACAAGAGGGTGGAGAATTGACAATACTTAGCTACGTACAAGACTGGAGAGGGCTAAATTTAATTTCAAACACGTTGTTAGGTGGCAAACACTAATTTGCTAAGGATCCACTTGAAAAACAATAATGTTTTAACGTCTTCAAGATCTTGGTGATTGGTCACCCCCCCCCCCACCTCC